TTTGGCGGCTTTGTTTACATTTATTAAAGAGCCTCCTGGTGCTTCAATATATATATATATATATATATATAATATATATATATATATATATATATATATATAATATATATATATATATAATATGAAAACTCCACACCCCAGAAATGACTCGAACCCACACTGCCAGGAGCACTATGCAACTGGTGTACAGGAGACCTTAACCACTAGACCTGGGGACCATTCAGGCTTCTTCGCATATATATATATATATATATATATATATATATATATATATATATATATATATATATATATATATATATATATATATATATATATCAATGGTTACATGTTCATCTCACAGCAGTTAAGATGATAATGGCTTAGCAAATGGAAATATTTGCTGTTTATTTGCCGATATCAATTAAATTCGTCTTAAAATATCACGTCTCGTCTTCATTCACACGAGGGGGAAGGACACGTGAGTCTTCCAGCAATGTATCGTGTGTCCGAGACCGTCACAGAGCTCATAGCTGTGTCCAAGCTTAAATGCTCTCAAACCCGAGTTCACTGTCATTCGCATTGTTGACGGCGGCCGGTGCCTGAGTCTGGAGAACGTTGCCTTGTCTATTTACGTGACTCGCTGCCTGAGGAACTCTTTGTATCAAGGAGGAGCGATTCTGGCCGGGGAGGGTCGACTTGGCACAGCTCCTCAGCTCGAAGCCTCCTAGTCACCCAGCAGTAATTGAGGACCGGTTGTATATCGACTGGTAGATCGTGTTCCAGGGGGAATCTACTAGGACACTATAAACTGTAAGGAAGGGCTAGCTATAAACTTGCTAGCAAGAGCCAGTAGTAGTAGTAAACGCAAACAGCGCTCAGTGCCGTCGTTGTGGCGTACAGTTGTCCAGTACTGAGCACAAGAGGCGCAGTGATCCACGCTCACTAGAGTGGTACTGCAAAGCCTCAGAAAAAGAGAGGCAGAAATAGAGCAGAAGGTGAAAGGGCTATCGAACCAGAGAAGGATGATCAAGTTCCTCTGGATTACATGCTGGCATCTGTGAAGACGAACGAGTAGATGTGCTGAAGATGGTAATGAATGCTTCATCCCCCCCCCCCACGACCGTGTTACAAATCCTGGGAATCAGCAAATAAGGAAGGAAGGGGAGGGATAAGTGAGTGGGTGTTGATGGGTTTGGACTGTAGGGTTGTGAGCTGGAGAGAACGTCCCCCAGACACTGGAGATCCCCTAGATGGTGTCCCTTGTCTCTGAGGGGGGACACACACACACACACACACACACACACACACACACACACACACACACACACACACACACACGCACGCACGCACGCACACACACACACACACACACACACACACACACACACACACACACACACACACACACACACACACACACACACATGGGCTGGTATTATCATGTTCCAACACTATTTCTTAAGTGATCCCCTGTCGGTTACTCTCAATGGCTGTTCACTTGGCTCTGGCCCAGCCGAGTCCATCACCATAACTTCTTTTCTTGGCCACGGCACCAACATGTCCCGTTTTTACCTGGCAAACTTTTCACACACACACACACACACACACACACACACACACACACACACACACACACACACACACACACACACACACACACACACACACACACACGTACCTACGTTATATCCATTGATATACACGTTATCAGGTCATACTCGCGTGTGGAGGCATCACATTTAGATCTGGTATTAGTCCATGTTTATGCATGCGTTCGGCCGTGTTAAATGACCCCCCTCGCCTGTAGGGAAGGTCAAGACGCACTTGTCCACACTTATATGGAAGGTGGAGGTGACAGTCGGGTGACGTGTGTGACTGGCCAGGACGGTGAGCGCAAGTTTTTGTAAGTTCGTATTTTAGAACAAGGCCAGTGGGGCTGTTTATGTTGGGGGGGGGGTTGTGGAGCTATGGGAAGGGGGGGGGGGGTTGTGGAGCTATGGGAAGGGGGGGATTGTGGAGCTATGGGAAGCAGGGGGGGGATTGTGGAGCTATGGGAAGCAGGGGGGGGATTGTGGAGCTATGGGAAGCAGGGGGGGGATTGTGGAGCTATGGGAAGCAGGGGGGGGGATTGTGGAGCTATGGGAAGCAGGGGGGGGATTGTGGAGCTATGGGAAGGGGGGGATTGTGGAGCTATGGGAAGGGGGGATTGTGGAGCTATGGGAAGGGGGGGGATTGTGGAGCTATGGGAAGGGGGGGATTGTGGAGCTATGGGAAGGGGGGGATTGTGGAGCTATGGGAAGGGGGGGATGTGGAGCTATGGGAACGGGGGGGGATTGTGGAGCTATGGGAAGGGGGAGGGATTGTGGAGCTATGGGAAGGGGAAGGGATTGTGGAGCTATGGGAAGGGGGAAGGATTGTGGAGCTATGGGAAGGGGGAGGATTGTATATCTACGGGAAGGGGGGGGAGATTATACATGACCTAACAATTGGTACCTAACTATAGGCTTAGTAAAAGACTGTGAATTTTTTGTTCACTTTTGCTAAAATATCTCCCAACAGAATCTTGTGTAACCTAACGAGGTTGGTTGTAGTGTTGGGGGGAGATTACACACAAAAATCACAATAGCGTGATGCATCAAATGTGACGGGCTCACCATAGCCCGTGCTACTTGGAAATTTTTGTTCCAAGTAGCGAATCTTTAAACAACAACAATAAAGCATCAAGTGAACAAATCCACAAGGGCCGTGACGAGGGTTCGAACGTACGTCGAAACATCGTTCGAAACATCCTACCCAGATGTTTTAGGAGTAAGGGGGGGGGAGGGAGGGAGGCTCTGGGGCTCGGTGGGGTGGATTCTGGGCAAGCCCCGGTTGGGGAGAGTTGGAATTGGGGATGTGTGGGGGAGATGGGGGTTGAGGGCCTGGGAGCGGGGCAGGCGTGGTGGCCACATAAGGCATCATCGCCTGGGTGCCACCAGTGTTGGCGATGCCAGACACGCTTGGCATGGGGCCCGAGTCGCCTCCCTCTCCCCCCATCCCATCCCCATAACCCCCCCCCCCCTCACCTAACCTTTGACGATGCTACTGTACTCCCCCCACTATCCTCTCTTCACCTATCCCTCCCCACTCGGGTCATCAACAGATCCGGTAATCAAAGTCCTCATTCAATCGCTGCTCCTATCCCACCCTGCGGTGGTGGGTCACTGTTGTTAATAGTGATCTCTGGTCACTATTCTTGCCCCCCCCCCCCCCCCACTTAATTCGTTGTTCTCTGGTGCTTCCTCTTCTCTTTTGAGTTGTCTCTTCCTCCCTCTACAACAAGCTGTTCACTTGAGACAGTTAAGCAAGTCCCAGCTGTGTCTGGGTACAAGTGACAGGATGAACAACCCAGCGGGTTTTCTTCCTATTGGGGAGTGTTGTACATGCTGCTATGGCGGTGTGTCCACTCACAGGATGAGTGACGCTGCCCAATACTGTCACTATGGCGGTGTGTCCACTCACAAGATGAGTGGCGCTGCCCAATACTGTCACTATGGCGGTGTGTCCACTCACAGGATGAGTGGCGCTGCCCAATACTGTCACTATGGCGGTGTGTCCACTCACAGCATGAGTGATGCTGCCCAATACTGTCACTATGGCGGTGTGTCCACTCACAAGATGAGTGGCGCTGCCCAATACTGTCACTATGGCGGTGTGTCCACTCACAGGATGAGTGGCGCTGCCCAATACTGTCACTATGGCGGTGTGTCCACTCACAAGATGAGTGACGCTGCCCAATAAACTCGCCTCTCGGAGCAAAATTAAAAAAAAAATAAAAGCCACCAGGGTGTGGAACACAATTGTAAATCCCAGTGCTAAACAGATTCCTCCAGTGCTGAGACGCCGCCCCGCCCCCACAACTGGGAGCCCAGGAGCTTAGATCTACTTGACGGAAACCAGGGCCCCACAATACATAGTGGCAAGGTGAAATGCACACCTGAACTTCCCATCTCTCTGCCTCTGTTGTCTGTTACTGGAGTTAGTAGCGGCCTCCTACGCGCTGTGGCCTGCTTTACTGACTTCATTTCTCATCTCATTACGTTGCATTTACTGAGGTTGAATTCATTAGCTGTTTATCAGTCCATTGTTACAGCTTGCTAATATAGAATTGTGTTCATTTGTTCAGGGAAGTAGTTAACGTTGACATGGGTCCAAGGACTATGTCTTGGGGGGGGGGACTCGCCTATCTCTCTCTCTCTCTCTATCTCTCTTGCTCTCTCTTGCTCTCTCTCTTGCTCTCTCTCTTGCTCTCTCTCTTGCTCTCTCTCTCTTGCTCTCTCTCTCTTGCTCTCTCTCTCTTGCTCTCTCTCTCTTGCTCTCTCTCTCTTGCTCTCTCTCTCTTGCTCTCTCTCTCTTGTTCTCTCTCTCTCTTGTTCTCTCTCTCTCTTGCTCTCTCTCTCTCTCTTGCTCTCTCTCTCTCTCTTGCTCTCTCTCTCTCTTGCTCTCTCTCTCTCTTGCTCTCTCTCTCTCCATTCTAACATTTCCTCTTTAGCAATGATAAGTCTATTCCTATCAGAGAGGTTTTCCCTTTCCCATTCGAGACCTTTTCCGGTTGCTTCAGGCTTCCCCTCCACCATGTTTGTGTACAGGTCCACGCGTGGCTGCCTGTGTGTGTGTTTCATGTCTCAGTCATACAAGACCTTCACCACTAACACTGAAATAAGTGTATTGAGGTATAAATACACACACACGGGGATGAGGCAGCTCTTCCAGCACTAGACATAACATGCGGGGGTTTGTTTAATTGAACGCTGCCTCTGGTGGTCGCACTAATCATGCTGTGTGTGTGTGTGTGTGTGTGTGTGTGTGTGTGTGTGTGTGTGTGTGTGTGTGTGTGTGTGTGTGTGTGTGTGTGTGTGTGTGTGAGAGGGGGATTGGATCTGGCGAAGGACACGGGCTTGAAGGTCGCCTGTGGGATCCTTGCGTGACGGCTCCAGCCAGTCTGGTGAGCGCACGAAGCCCACAGCGATAATGAGACGAGCTGCAGATTATCGTTTGCACCATCTCTTCTCGCTTGGACCGTAGGACGGGTAACGAGGCAAGGAAGGAGAGTTCGAGTCGGTGCGGCGATGTTGATGTAGTGTTTACTTACATGCCGGTAAAGGCCCTCGCTCGCGATACGAGAATTCAGTTTGTTTACGCGGGTTTTTTTTTGGGTTGTGATATTTTGAAAGTGGCGGCGTGTGACAGCTGAGTGACGAGATCCGTAACACCTTGCCACTCGCCGCAAGCTTCACGTTCCAGCAGTGTGTGTGTGGTAGAGTGGACGCTTTGATGCTCCGTGTCATCTTCTGCTGACGTCTATACTCAGTTGGGCTTGCGGGGGTTGAGCTTCGGCTCTTTGGCCCCGCCTCGCAACTGTCACTCAACCGGTGCAGGATTTGTGGTGCGATATTAGGAAGAGTGCGTGTAATCTGGGATAATGACGGATACCTTCCCGGTGATATAGGACCTCTGAAGATAACAAGGGGGTCCCTACGTGTTGATATAGGACCTCTGGAGATAACAAGGGGGGTCCTTACGTGTTGATATAGGACCTCTGAAGATAACAAGGTGTCCCTACGTGTTGATATAGGATTCCTGAAGATAAATGGTGTATACATACCAACCTCCTGGAGACGTTGCGAGGTCCGTGAGCGTGGAGATAGGGTTCCTGGAGGTAAGAAGGATTCGTCCGTACATAAGGTGTTGGAATGTGGGCCTTGGCAACGGAGCTGTTGTTTCAGTCTTGCTGCACCTGCGACAAGGTGCGCCCGCCGCTGTACAGGTGAGTTGGTAGATTGATTGATGAAGATTTTAAGCCACCCCCCAAGATGTGGCACGGGCATGAATAGCCCCGTAAAGTTGGTAGTTGACGTATATGGTTGTATTTGTGACATTCAGCACCGCTCCTGTGCCAGGTAAGTCCACCACAGGCTCACCATAGCCCGTGCTACTGGCCCCGCGCCTGTGCCAGGTAAGTCCACTACGGGCTAACCATAGCCCGTGCTACTTGGAACTTGTTCGGAGTAGCTGAATCTATAACAACAACAACACAACGTAGATTGTGAGGGCGTGTCGGGCAACGGGTTGTAAAGTTGAGGTGTAACTGTGAAGGTTGGCCATGCTAATCTTACCTTCAGGGTCTGAAGTGAAGGGTAGGTGACAGGCATCACCTGGAGGCCGCAGCCTCATAATTTCTCTCTGTCTCAAGCTTGATTCATAGTTGACCTAATTCTCATGTTATATTTATCAATTGGCATGTGCTCTGTGAGAGAGAAGATTTCCATTAATGCACAAATGGTGCAATATTATATTAGCTCGTTTGCTTGCGGGGGTTGAGCTTTGGCTCTTTGGTCCCGCCTCTCAAACTGTCAATCAACAGGTGTACAGGTTCCTGAACCTACTGGGCTCTATCAAAATGGCCGGAGGTCTGGGCTCGAGGAAGATGTGGTGGAAACGTTACAACTTATTCTTAATGACACTGGAGTTAGTCGATGGTGGCTACAGTGGCCCGGGGCGTCTTGGGAGGGGCGTGCAGGATGCTGGTGGTGTTATGCTATCTCAACCATTACGTAATGCAAGCGCCAGGACGCATACGCCCACAAGCAAGCAAGTAATTAAGCAAACACACACACGCCACCAGACAATCAAGTGCACGTACGCGCGCGTGTACACACACACACACACACACACACACACACACACACACACACACACACACACACACACACACACACACACACACACACACACAGGTCGATACTCAGGAATCTGTACACCTGTTGATTGACGGTTGAGAGGCGGAACCAAAGAGCCAGAGCTCAACCCCCACAAGCACAACTAGGCGAGTACAACTAGGTGAGCACACACACACACACACACACACACACACACACACACACACACACACACACACACACACACACACACACACACACACACACACACACACACCTACCTACCTTTACCTGTGCACCTGTCCCCCAGATGGTAAACCAAGTGGGCATGCAAGGTGCACGTCTTGGAGCAGAGGGCGGCGACGGCCCTGAGGAATACCCAACAGGTTCTCCAAGGACTGGGGACCAATACCTGCAGCCCCATCAAGACGACGTCCACAGCAATAGACAAGTTAATCCTGTACTGCGCCGTCACTGGGCTCTGTGTGTGTGTGTGTGGGAGCAGATGATGGAGAGGAATGAGGGAAAGGAGGGAGAGGGGGAGAAGGGAAGGAGTGAGGGTGGGAGGGAAGAGGGAGGATAATTAGGAACACAAAACAGGTTAGAGTGAAGTAGTAATGTATAATAATAGACTGCAGCTGTGTTGTTCCTAAATAGATGGATCAATTCTGGGCTGAGAGAGAGTGGCATTATACAATGGTCAGGTCCTCGAGTTTCTTTACCTCAGGTGTGTGGTGTGGTGTGACCTTGTTTACCTCAGGTGTGTGGTGTGTCCTTGCTAACCTCAGGTGTGTGGTGTAGTGTGTCCTTGTTTACCTCAGGTGTGTGGTGTGTCCTTGTTTACCTCAGGTGTGTGGTGTGTCCTTGTTTACCTCAGGTGTGTGGTGTCCTTGTTTACCTCAGGTGTGTGGTGTAGTGTGACCTTGTTTACCTCAGGTGTGTGGTGTAGTGTGTCCTTGTTTACCTCAGGTGTGTGGTGTAGTGTGACCTTGTTTACCTCAGGTGTGTGGTGTGTCCTTGTTTACCTCAGGTGTGTGGTGTGTCCTTGTTTACCTCAGGTGTGTGGTGGGACCTTGTTTACTTCAGGTGTGTGGTGTAGTGTGTCCTTGTTTACCTCAGGTGTGTGGTGTGGTGTGTCCTTGTTTACCTCAGGTGTGTGGTGTGTCCTTGTTTAGCTCAGGTGTGTGGTGTGTCCTTGTTTACCTCAGGTGTGTGGTGTGTCCTTGTTTACCTCAGGTATGTGGTGTAGTGTGTCCTTGTTTACCTCAGGTGTGTGGTGTGTCCTTGTTTACCTCAGGTGTGTGGTGTAGTGTGTCCTTGTTTACCTCAGGTGTGTGGTGTAGTGTGTCCTTGTTTACCTCAGGTGTGTGGTGTAGTGTGTGCTTGTTTACCTCAGGTGTGTAGTGTGACCTTGTTTACTTCAGGTGTGTGGTGTAGTGTGTCCTTGTTTACCTCAGGTGTGTGGTGTAGTGTGGCCTTGTTTACCTCAGGTGTGTGGTGTGTCCTTGTTTACCTCAGGTGTGTGGTGTAGTGTGTCCTTGTTTACCTCAGGTGTGTAGTGTGACCTTGTTTACTTCAGGTGTGTGGCGTAGTGTGACCTTGTTTACCTCAGGTGTGTGGTGTAGTGTGACCTTGTTTACCTCAGGTGTGTGGTGTAGTGTGACCTTGTTTACCTCAGGTGTGTGGTGTAGTGTGGCCTTGTTTACCTCAGGTGTGTGGTGTAGTGTGTCCTTGTTTACCTCAGGTGTGTGGTGTGTCCTTGTTTACCTCAGGTGTGTGGTGTGTCCTTGTTTACCTCAGGTGTGTGGTGTGTCCTTGTTTACCTCAGGTGTGTAGTGTGTCCTTGTTTACCTCAGGTGTGTGGTGTAGTGTGTCCTTGTTTACCTCAGGTGTGTGGTGTCCTTGTTTACCTCAGGTGTGGTGTGTCCTTGTTTACCTCAGGTGTGTGGTGTGTCCTTGTTTACCTCAGGTGTGTGGTGTGTCCTTGTTTACCTCAGGTGTGGTGTGTCCTTGTTTACCTCAGGTGTGTGGTGTGTCCTTGTTTACCTCAGGTGTGTGGTGTAATGTGTCCTTGTTTACCTCAGGTGTGTGGTGTGTCCTTGTTTACCTCAGGTGTGTGGTGTGTCCTTGTTTACCTCAGGTGTGTGGTGTGTCCTTGTTTACCTTAGGTGTGTGGTGTGTCCTTGTTTACCTCAGGTGTGTGGTGTGTCCTTGTTTACCTCAGGTGTGTGGTGTAGTGTGTCCTTGTTTACCTCAGGTGTGTGGTGTAATGTGTCCTTGTTTACCTCAGGTGTGTGGTGTGTCCTTGTTTACCTCAGGTGTGTAGTGTGTCCTTGTTTACCTCAGGTGTGTGGTGGGACCTTGTTTACTTCAGGTGTGTGGTGTAGTGTGTCCTTGTTTACCTCAGGTGTGTGGTGTGGTGTGTCCTTGTTTACCTCAGGTGTGTGGTGTGTCCTTGTTTACCTCAGGTGTGTGGTGTAGTGTGTCCTTGTTTACCTCAGGTGTGGTGTGTCCTTGTTTACCTCAGGTGTGGTGTGTCCTTGTTTACCTCAGGTGTGTGGTGTGTCCTTGTTTACCTCAGGTGTGTGGTGTGTCCTTGTTTACCTCAGGTGTGTGGTGTGTCCTTGTTTACCTCAGGTGTGTGGTGTGTCCTTGTTTACCTCAGGTGTGTGGTGTGTCCTTGTTTACCTCAGGTGTGTGGTGTGTCCTTGTTTACCTCAGGTGTGTGGTGTAGTGTGACCTTTGAGCAGCCTGAGGGCAGCAATATCCCAGAAACATCAACAAAATCTCGTAGACTTGAGGCAAAGTGAAATTCACACCAGTTCCTCTTTATCTATCATCATTCCATTAAGGAGGAAGAACGGCACGTCTATGGGTCATCCAATAAGGCCACCAGACTTGTAGATGTTACCACTGCTAGGCTTAGGCTCGGCTACAAGTGCCTCTGGGAGCCTGCACCTTTTGCTGACGTTGCTAAATGTTGACGTGACTAAATGTAAACTCTGTCAGCAGAAGTGGTTTCCTTTACTGTTGTCCTCCTCCTGATGTGGCTGTGCAGCAATTTAGGTTGAGTCTTTGCCGTGTCTATGTTGTTTTCATAATGCCCTTCTGCTCTCTCTTCTCTCACCCTGACGTATTCGTTCCTGGCTCTCTGGTATCCTTCTCTGCTCTCAAGTGTCCTGTTATTTCTATAGTTTCTCCACGGTCAAAGAGCGTGGAGAAAGTGAAGAGTCAGTGAAGATGCGCAGTCCGCCGGGGTCATTCAGGGGGAAACCTGAGTACTGACCTTTGACTTTGAACTGGACGGCAGAGCGACGGTGTTCTTGCTTCTTGGACGGTCGGCGTTCAATCCCCGACCGTCCACGTGGTGGAGCACCATTCCTTCCCTCCGTCCCATCCCAAATCCTTACGCTCATATCCCCCCCCCCTCAACTGCCGTTTAGTCGTAATGGCCTAGTGCTTTCTGGTGATAACTACCGCACCGCATGAGGGAGGCAGTTACGCAGCATGACCTAGTTCTAAGGTCTCGTCTTCACCCTTCGTAGTGCTTCGAGAGGCCGTTCTCCCGATTCCACCCCGTAGTAACTGCAGTGGTTTAGTCTAACTAAAAGCGTCAGAAGCACGGCTACGGACACGATCTACCGGAGCCGATATCTTTGGGTACTCGGAGCGTCAATAGTTTCGTCTTGTTCATTTCCTTAAACTGCCGCAATTTTTTTTTTTTTTTTTGCGCCGGAGTCGAATGCGTAAGGAAATGTAGTGCGTTCAGTAAGGGGAGATCTCAGACAGGTGTGTAAGGGAGAGATCTCAGGCAGGTGTGTAAGGGGGAGATCTCAGACAGGTGTGTAAGGGAGAGATCTCAGACAGGTGTGTAAGGGAGAGATCTCAGACAGGTGTGTAAGGGAGAGATCTCAGACAGGTGTGTAAGGGAGAGATCTCAGACAGGTGTGTAAGGGAGAGATCTCAGACAGGTGTGTAAGGTGAGATCTCAGACAGGTGTGTAAGGGAGAGATCTCAGACAGGTGTGTAAGGTGAGATCTCACAGATGTACGGAGTGATCCTCCAAAATGTGTTTTCTCCAGATCTCATTTATCTCAAAACTTCTGAA